ACTATGACAGTCAGGTGGAAGCAGGATAGCATATTCAAAGTCCTGAAATTAAAAGACTGTCAACCAAGAATTATATATCTAACAAAATTATCCTTCTAATACAAAGGAGAATTTAAGACATTACCAGATAAACAAAAAATGACAGTCTATCAGGTTGAAATGAAAAGACCCCAAACAACAACCCAAATGCACAAGAAGAAATAAAGAACATCAATAAAAATAACTACACAGGTAAATATAAATGACACAGGTAAATATAAAAGATAGTATAAATGTTTTTTTCAGTTTTAGTTCTTTCCTGGTCCTACATGACTTAAAAAGAAACTGGTAAATCAATAATTATAAAACTGTGTGTGTTGGTGGATTTATAATGTATAAAGATGCAATTTGCATGACAATAATAGCAAAAAAGAGGAAGAAAAAAACAGAGCTAAGTAGCAGTAAAGTTTTTAATACTGAAATGAAATAGTATCAATTTGAACTACACTATTTTAAATTAAGATGTTAATTGTAATCCCTGTAGCAACCATTAAGAAAATAATTCCCCCAAAATACTAAAAGAAACAGTAAGAAAATTAAAGTGGTAGACTAGAAAACATCTGTGTAACACAAAATAAGGCAGTAATGGAAGAACAACAAAACAAAGTCATGACATATAGAACACAAATAGCAAACTGACACACATAAATTCTACCTTAGCAGTTCTACACTAAATATGAATGGATTAAACACTCGCGTGAAAAGGCAAAGAATGTCAGGCTGCATAAACAAGATTCAACTTTATGCCATCTACAAGACACTGATTGACAGACTGATTGACTGATGAGACAGGGTCTCAATTTGTCACCCAGGCTGGGTGTAGATGAGTTTGGGGACTATAACCATCTTAATAAGTAGATGAGTTTGGGGAATATTACCATCTTAATAAGTCTTTCATCTAATATTGTCCGTTTCAAAAGGGTAAAAATTATGGTATGTGACATATTTGCAAGGAAGCTCTTACTGGGGGGCAGAGGGGAAGCAAACAAGATACTATAAAAAGTGAGCAAAAAAAGAGATCTTGGAAACCTGAACAAGAAAGGAAAACTCTAAAAATCAAATACCCAATAGAATGGCTGAAGATAAATTTGAGAAAATCTGCAAGAAGAACAAAATTCTGAAGATATAAATGAAGAGGAAAAAAATCAGCAAGTCAGAGGACTATTCCAATTGGTCACAATATAATCCTATTTGTGTGTGTGTGTGTATGTTTATATTTTTCAAGAAATTTGCCAAGATCTGAATGACATGAGAGGTTCCAGACTGAAGCCTTTCCATCCAAGTGCCCAGCACAACAAATGAAAATAGTCTCACATAAGATCTATCGTCATAAAGTTTCAGACAAACACTGGGGACAAAGAAATGGTACCACAACTTCCTAAACAAATCAAAGTTGCCTAAATAGGATGAAGAATCAGAATGACTTCAGACTTCTCAATAGACACATTGATAGCTGGAACACAATGGGGCATTAGCTTTAACATACTGGACGAAAATAATTTCCAGCCTAGATTTAAAACTGTCAATATACCAGGATAGGAAAAAAAATATTCTTAGACTCCAAAAATTTTCCTTTTCCACACCTTTTCTCAAGAGTGGAGGATATGCACTAGTAAAAGAGAGAGTAAACCAAGAAAGGAAAGACCTAGTCTCCAAGAAACAGAAGATGCACCTGCAGGGAGAGGTGAAGTGAAACCCCAGGATGATGACAAAGAGAGATGTCAGGATGATGGGGGTGTAAAAGGCAGTGAAGGCAGCTAGTCCAAATTCAAACAGGCTTAGGGACTTATACAAATTGGCACAGAGGTGAGTAAGGAGAAATTACTAGTATGCAATAAGTATATAGATAACTATGTATGTGAAAGCAAAACAATTATTAACTCCAGGAAAAACAAAAGGCTGCAAGAAAAAAGTAAAGTTATCAGAGTTTATCAAATATTAATAGTGAACTGTGACTAGCATACATAATCACAATACAAACTAGATGTGTCCTTACCAAAATTAAAATATGACCATATTTGGTAGATGAGGAGATCACAAGTGTACATGAGGAAGGTTAGGAGTAGAAAAGAGCTGCAATTTACTCTTCATGGTGGAAAATAAAATTCTTAGAATGGCAAAAAAAGATTTTAAATAATAATATTGGTAATTGTTAGGAAAACAGTAAATAACAAAACAATCAATAAAAACTGCCAGCAAGGTTTGCCTCTGATCAGAAAATGGCAAGTGTGAGGCACTGCCTTGCTTTAAATGTATCTTATAAATCAGATTTAATCTCTGTGTGTATAGATGATTATGACACAAAATAAATTAAAAATAAAAATGACAGGGGGCCAGACACAATGGCTCATACCTGTAACCCTAGCACTTAGGGAGGCTGAGGCAGGAGGACTGCTTGAGGTCAGGAATTCTATACCAGCCTGAGCAACAATAGGGAGACCCCATGTCCACAAAAAATAAAAATAAAAATTAGTCAGGTACAGTGGTGCACACCTGTAGTTCCCACTACTGGGGAGGCTGAGGCAGGAGGAACACTTAAGCCCAGGAGTATGAGGTTGGAGTAAGCCATGATGACATCACTATACTCTAGCCTGGATAATAGACAGAGACTCTGTCTCAAAGAAAAAAGAAAGAAAGAAAGAAAAGAAAGGGGATGTCCTAATGCAATTTCTCACCTGCTTTTGCCTTGGGGTCCTTTTTAACACTAAAGCTTTAGCAAGCAGGTTAAAAATAAAAAGTGTGTATGACGACACCTCAGTAATGCTGCAGACTCTACAGCATGCAGTGAGGAAGCCAATCTTGGAGAGCTCAGAGTAATAAAAATAAAATAATAAAATTAAAAAGTACCAATTTTCCCTTTCCAAAACAATCATAAATACCTAGTGAATGGTTATGAATTTTTTAAATAACAAGCAAGTAAATATTATGAAACCTGTTAACATACATAACTTACCAAATAGTTATAATGAATCAGATGACATATATTATTAGCCCTGTCTATAAGTTAAATTATCCTCAGGTTTAAAGCTGCTGCTTTTTAAGAGCTTGGTTCCCAAATGATGGTCCCAGAAGAAATTTAACATCAGTAACCCTGTCTTTTTTCCACAGATTTGCAGTATAAAATATGACATATTGACTAAAAATATTTTCTAGAAAATTCAATAGGTTGTGAATGTCAAAGTATACTGAAAGCTCATAACTATGAAAGTAACAGAGAGTTACAGGTGATTTACATTTTCACAAGACTATGATATGACAGACAGCTAGAAATTAATTATGTACTCCCTAACATATTTATGTGAACTGTGAAAATAACACACGTAAAACAATGTAAAATGGTCAAATACTCTATGCCTCTGGGGCCTCAACTGCTCTGAGATCCATGTTGGGGGAGACCCTTTAACATGAAGATTTTGTTAACTGTCTCCATTTTATTACCTGACTCAGTGTGATTTTAGCCACCAGTGACAGGCATTAAATAACAACTAAATGCATGTCCCAACACTCTAATTCCAGCTCCTTCAAAGTAAAGCTGGTTAATGTACATGTATGTCTCTTTTTCCAGCTGTGAAACAAACAAAGAAAACTGCTGCTCAAATAAGTTTACTACTCTTGTTACTTAAGTCATTCAGCCAATATTATTAAGACATTCTTTTTCACCATATATTTTTTAGAGATATAATTAATAAATCTTATTCTTCTCAAATAAAGCACTCTCTTGGTGATCGAACTCTTAAGAGGACCTTATTTCAGAACTAAATCCAAGTTTTGGAAAGCATTAAGCAAATTCTACAATAATTTTTTAATCCTACGGAATCTTGCTAAGCTGAAAAATCTACAGTGCTCATAAAATAACTAAAATACCCATAATGACACAGAGAAGTCTAGACTATTCAGGTAATCCAGTCATCCATGTGGAGCCACATATAGTAGGTAATGAATTTCTCTGATACATTAAAATCCCCATTCTACCTGAGTATATCTGCACCAAAATAAAGGTGGTAACAAGAGCCCCTGCCCCTCAGAGTGCTACAATTTAGGTAACTGTCTTGTAATAAATACAAAGAAACATGAAGTTTCTGCTTCTTTCAGTAGAGAAAGGTTTTTAAAGAACAGCTTAGGTCTCCAAGCACTTGTGCCTGCCAGAGTTTTACAATATGGACAAGATTGTAGGTTCATTACCCTAAGACCACCCTCTTCTCCATTTTAGTCTAAAATTTTTAGGAAGGATTTTAGGTAACATGACACAGCAGAAACCCTTACTCCTATTCAGAGGCCCAAGCACTTCTGTAGCTCCTTTTTTAATTTCAATTTTTTAAAAAAACGGAGGAGGTCATGGAAAGAACACGTAAAACCCATGCCTGGGAGGATAGAAAAGGTGGCTTCAACCCAGGCTCTGGCATCAACGCTTCTGGGGCCTCACCTAAAACACCCACTGTGTTGGGGATCTCCAGGATCACCCCCAGGTTTAATGGTTCATTAGGAAGACAAAGGACTCAGCATAGTCATACTCACAGCTGTAATTTATTATAGCAAAATAATCTCCTGGTGGAGTCACACAAGACTAAATTTAATCTCCCAGCACTAAGCTATGACAACACAAGTGAAATGCTGTCTACCAGGAATATTCCTTAGAGACTCAGTGCCCTGGGGTTTTGCTGGTGGCTGGTCACACAGATACCTTCTGCCTGGCACTTACCAAAATACCAGAGTCCCAAAAGGAAAGCAAGAGTTCTACATAAACCACATGTGTGGCACAGTTTGAACACTGTGAGCACTCTTATCTCACTCTTTGGGAATGATGGGAAACCTCCCCAAATCCACATCTCCAGGTGCCAGCACAGGGATGGGCTACATTGTAAGCAGGCCTTTCTAAAGACAGCAGTCTCAGGCCTGCTGTGTTAACTCTTTCCTGCATTCACATCTCTAGATCTTGATTTTTACCTTGTCATTTTCCCCAGTCTGCTAGTTCGCTGTGGTTCCCTTCCGACAACACACAGGAAACCTACAGGTAAGATGGAAACTGCAAGGTGTTGGGTTCATGATCTGGGCTCACTATGAGCCCACTAATGAGCATGGTGTGAAGCCATCTCTGGAGCAGGCAAGGGTTTTGCTCTCATGACCTGTTTTCCCAACAATAGTGGCAACTTCATCATTGAATAGCCCCTCTTCCTCAAGCACTTACCTTCCCTGCTCATCAGTACCCTTCAACTTTCCCTAAGAGATTGTTTAGCACTGTTGTCTTTAAGTTCTTTTTTTCCCTAAGTATTCTCACTATATATTAAAGACAAGAAGAATGAGATTCATAAAACACAGGAATAAAAAAACCTATTCTCACAGATGATCTTTTGTAAAAAAGATGAAGAGTAATTTTATTCCCATCTAAATCATCTTGTACACAGCACAAGGGCCAAGGTGACAGTAACACTGGAATCAGTATGTCTCTCAACCACAAGGAAGCACAACCCTCTCACTTGCTCATGGAGCCCCTACTTATGGGTCTGGGGCCCACTTTCATCATAACTACCTGAGGGACATCAAGACAGATGACTCCTATATATTTCAATATTCCATCCCATTGCCAAATGTCCAGTACTCTGTGAACTCTTTTATGAAACATGGTAAAAAAATAAAAATAAAATTAAAAGGCAAGTTGGGGGCCGGGCGCTGTGGCTCACGCCTGTAATCCTAGCTCTTGGGAGGCCGAGGCGGGCGGATTGCTCAAGGTCAGGAGTTCAAAACCAGCCTGAGCAAGAGCGAGACCCCGTCTCTACTATAAATAGAAAGAAATTAATTGGCCAACTGATATATATATAAAAAATTAGCCGGGCATGGTGGCGCATGCCTGTAGTCCCAGCTACCCGGGAGGCTGAGGCAGAAGGATCACTGGAGCCCAGGAGTTTGAGGTTGCTGTGAGCTAGGCTGACGCCACGGCACTCACTCCCGGGCAACAGAGTGAGACTCTGTCTCAAAAAAAAAAAAAAAAAAAAAAAAAAGGCAAGTTGGAAGGACAGGGTTCTGATATTAGCTCTGACTCTTCTTGGCTGTGTAATCTCTCAAAAGTCACTTCCTATCTCTGGGCCGCTGCTGTTTATGCGGACACAATGACAGACTCATACAAGCTACTCTGTGAGTTCATTCCAGTTCTAACTGTCCAGAATATTCATATCACTGTCACATAAGGCAGGGTAATGTTTAGAATTCTTTTGGTGTTAAGCTTCTCCATCATACCTAAATTATAGATACCCTATTGTTACATAATGTCTAAAATTCTGACTATTAACAAAGACACATTCATGGATTCAAGTTGTCTTGGGTCTAATGAGACACTCATCCCTTGCATTGGCTTCTACACATTGAGAATGACATGACTGAAAAGAAAACCAACATCTCAAAGATGTTTTCCAAAATTGTGACTTACGAATTATATCTCAACTCATTCTGGAATGGCTCCATTCATTCAAACAAATACATTCTAAGCACCCTCCTTACTAAATGCTGTGTATAGATATTAGAATCAGGGAACACAGATCTATACAAACTGTAAGAGCTGAATTTTTCAACACGAATCACTTTTAAGCATGCTTCTGAAGTCAGTATGTGGCATGAAACCTGGCCAAACATCTGGGTGAGAAAGTCTTACTTCTAAGGAAGTAGAATGAGAGGGGACCCCTGAGTTATGAGCTGGACAAGATCTCCAACCACCCTCTAACCATACATTCTTTGAATAAAATTACCACAACAAAAAAAAGTGGTGCAAATCAAGATGTTAACTGAAAAAGAGTAGGGAGGAAAGAGAAGAAAGGAAAAAAGTCTGAACTCACCGGGATTGTGGCAATCCTTTCTTACTGAGATCTGCCCTCACACGTTCTCCTACATGTCTGTAAATTTCCACTAAGCTGTTTATTGCTGCATCTCGAACCTAGATGTAAAAGAAGAGATCTTACAGCTGTTCTGTGTCATTGCCCAGCACTTTCTGCTGGGACACAAAATGCCATACACCACCCCAATTTATCACCAATTTACCAGTGCAACTGCAAATACATTCCTTTATATACATTTGTCTAAATGACACCATGTTTGACACCCTGCTGTTACAATGCCAAAGGATAGAAAAAACATAGCTCTCCACCCCATATACATGGTTAGAGTCCATGTTCCTTAGTTCTTTTCATTCTTTAAGAAAATATCAGGAAACTATAATTTTCAGACCATCTTTCCAACACAGAAAACAACATTATAAATAAGTGAATTATATTCAAAATAAGACACTAAAAAATCCAGACACTCTGGATTTAAGTCAAATAAACAAATACTTAATGAGCAACAAAAATGGGTAGTACAGGCTACCACCCCACGTTTAAGAAGCTAATAATCCTAAAAAGGAGATAAAAAAAAGCCCTTAAATTCTACATTCAAGGTAGCATAGGATGCAATAAATGTTATTCAAGAGCACAAAGAGATCACACAGTTTAAAGGAGGAAGAAACTATATCAGGGGATGTCAAGAAACGCTTTGTGGAAGAGGCAGGAGTCACTGAAATGTACTTGAGTGGACAGGGTTTCAGCAGGTCCAGATGGAATGACACAGGTTCCAAACATGACACAGGCACAAAAGCAGACATGCATGACACATGCTTCAGGAAAAGCAAGTATGCCACTCTGGCCAGACACAAATATGAACTAAAAAAGCTGCATGAAATAAGGCTTAAGAGACAGGATGGATTTTCTTCCAAGACCAGGCTGGGCCTGTGTGCATGCTGGGGCTGCCAACTGTGCTGTGCCCATGAGGAAAGCTGCTGAGGACAAAGCCCGCCAGCTGACAATGGCTGAGACTCTAAGTCTCTGAAGGTACCACTGAGCTACTAATAAACTCGGGAACCTCTCTACTCCAGGACCCCTCATTGTGCAGGATAATACGATTCTCCACTGCTCTAGTGATTCTGAGTTGGGTTTTCAGTTACTTGTGGCCAAAAGCATCCTAAGCCACATGCTGCATCTATCTGTGAGCCACTCTGAGAAGCTTCTGAGGGGCTTCCTCTGCTCTGAGCCACTCTGCACTCAAATTATTATGAAAACAAATGCACATCCTCTAAGGCAGAAGTGATTTGCATAGTTCATTTTAAGCGCCAACTCCAGTGGATGCCAGCAGCTGCCTGAACAGTTGTGAGAGGATACTGCATACACTCGCCATAGGGAAATGAAGAGTTGGAGGCTGACCCCTACATCAGGCACCTGAATGCAGTGACAGCAGTGACCCCACAGTGTCCTCTCTCGTCTGAGACTTGGACAACAAAGAAGAGAAAATCATTCAAAGAGTTATGTGGTGCCTGGGACTATAAACAGGAACAAGTTATGGTCTTGACTTTCAAGATTCTGAGACTAGTAGGAAAGATTGAGGAAAAATTAAAATAAAGGCAAGAGGGGAAAGCACATGCAACCTACTTTCATGCCCCAGAAGGAAAAATGATTAATTTGATTAGTGTCAGGGAAGAGATGGCAAAATTTACTGGCAGAAGGGATTTCCAGGCAACGTGGATTGAGTGTGTGTATATGTACCTATGCATGCAAACATATATGCAAAAAAAAAACATCCTAAGGCAGATGTGAATATGTGGATTATTTTCAGAGTACTCAGTTTAGAATACACTGGCTAGAAATCCTGTCTACTATGAAGTACTGAAAGCTGCCCAAAGAGCACCAACCTCATTTCACAGATGGGGGCAGAAAATGAAAAAACAAAACAAATAAGAACTTGCTTAAATTCACAGGTACATATGCCTAGGATTCACTGTGCCAGTGAGGAGAGCCATACCACTACAGGCTCCAAACTCTCGGACCTGGCGGTTTCCTGCCATAGAAATAAACCACCTAATAAAGATACTAGGCAGGAAGTGGTAACTTGAATTTTTGGCTTAAAGAAACATTTTAAACAAGTCACATTTTCTAACATATAAAAAAGAAACTATTGGCCGATCATGGTGGCTCACGCCTGTAATCCTAGCACTCTGGGAGGCCTAGGCAGGCGGATTGCTCCAGGTCAGGAGTTCAAAACCAGCCTGAGCAAGAGCGAGACCCTGCCTCTACTATAAATAGAAAGAAATTAATTGGCCAACTAATATATAGAGAGAAAAAATTAGCCAGGCATGGTGGCACATGCCTGTAGTCCCAGCTACTTGGGAGGCTGAGGCAGTAGGATTGCTTGAGCCCAGGAGTTTGAAGTTGCTGTGAGCTAGGCTGACGCCACGGTACTCATTCTAGCCTGGGCAACAAAGTGAGACTCTGTCTCAAGGAAAAAAAAAAAAAAAAAAGAAGAAGAAACTATTTCATCTCCTTGTTCCTTCATTAAAAAATTACAAAGAAAAATTATAAAACCTTTATGTTGATGATATAGAATAGTAAGATGCAATTCCATTTAAATGGAATTTTAATACATTTATTAATATATTTAATAATACTTTTATTTTTAAGTTGTATTATTACTACTGATAACCAATCCAGAAGCATCTGATTTTTGATAATGAAACTAATTTCTGGTACATGGAAGTATGTGTATAATCTACACCAGGGCTGTCAACATTTGGTATAAGAAAACTATGGCTATGCCAATATCATAAATTGAGTAACTTGGCCCTTCTAAAGGTCTTTTACTTGGACCAACAGGTCATATCAGCACCTATATTATAATAGATACTCCCAAAGCACTCAACAGGAGTGGGGAGTGAGGTTTACTAATGCCCCCACTTTAAAGGGGAAACCAAAGCTCTAGAATCAAATGCCTCCTAAGGTCAGCTGGCTGTTAAATTCAAAGCAGGGACCGATGCCTGTGTCTAATCTAGGCTTCTTGCACTGCATTAGGTAGGCTCAAGTTTTAAACACACTCTGCCGCCTTTCGGCATAAAATTGTATGTCAAACTGTTCAAGACTCAACGCCATCTTAAACTCTTAAACAATCGAATCAACATTTTCAGAATGCATGGAATTGTGCTGAGCACTTGAAATTTAATATGTGCTACTTTTGAAACAAAGAAAACCCTGTTACAATTCCTAAAGAGAACTTACAAGTTAACCCCTTCTCTATACCTACTGGAAAAAAGTCAAATCATGGAGCAGCCCAACACAAAAACAGATTAGTGCCTTTACAGACTCTTCACATAGAAACTTTAGAGAACTTCTAAGTGCTACAGGCTTCCTGTAGTAGAAAACTTCACAGAAAGGAAAATCTCCGAGAGTTAGACATTCTTGGAGGCCTAACTGAATAGCTGCAAGGATGAGAATGTAAGTGTTTCAAATTTTTTAAATTTTCTTAACATTCTACTTTCAACATCTTTTTTTTTTTTTTTTTTTTTGAGACAGAGTCTCGCTTGTTGCCCAGGCTAGAGTGAGTGCCGTGGCGTCAGCCTAGCTCACAGCAACCTCAAACTCCTGGGCTCAAGCAATCCTCCTGCCTCAGCCTCCCGAGTAGCTGGGACTACAGGCATGCCACCATGCCCGGCTAATTTTATATATATATTAGTAGGCCAATTAATTTCTTTCTATTTATAGTAGAGACGGGGTCTCGCTCTTGCTCAGGCTGGTTTTGAACTCCTGACCTCGGGCAATCCGCCCGCCTCAGCCTCCCAGAGTGCTAGGATTACAGGCGTGAGCCACCGCGCCCGGCTACTTTCAACATCTCTTAAAATCTACATAGAATCTGCCATCTTTCAAGCAGGGAAATGCTGAGGTTATCCTCATAGTACATATCAGTGGAGGATAACGAGATGTTTCCTCCACTTTCCTCTGGAGGATGTTGTCCACTTCAGTAACAAAAACAAAATTTGAGGCTCAAAAACAAAATCAAGCTACTAATCTCACCCTCTCCCCCAAAAACCCAGTATCCACACAGACAAGGCAGGCCCCTGGCATAAGTGCTCAGTAAATGTATGTGGAGGAAAAGAGGACAGAGAAAGGGGAAAGAATTAGGGAACATGTGAAATGCACTCTGGTGCAGTACACAGCACTGCATGGCAGGCACTGCAATGTAGCGTATACCCCTCCGCAAACCAGACTCTCGACGATGCCACATGCTGTAGTCGTGGACAGTGTCTGTTTGGTCTGTTTATATTGCCTCCACAACTGAAGTGCATTTGAGAAGCCAGCCCCCAACGCCCACCCTAGGTCCTAAGGATTCCACAGGCCCAGTGTGAGGATTCACATCACCTGTCTGGCCAGCGTCAGTATCGGAACTAGGAACAACTCACCTCATCAAGTAGGCTTTTCTGCCCTACTAAAGGATATCATGTGGCAGCAGTGATATTCTCAAATTGTAGCCTCTATAAAGGGTTGTTTCCACAGAAAACAAAAAGGGAAAAAAGACTAAAAGGGGGTGGGGCAAAATAATCTATTTGGTAATTTAGAATCGTTTTTAAAAAACAGTTGAGGTTATTTTTAAATTAATGTTGAATATAAACTATGACAGTAAATAAAAATATCTAAAAATTTTATTTCAAATGCCATATAATATTTTCAACAAAGGCTGAATGAAAGCATGAGTGGAAAGAAAGCAGGGCAAGCAAGGGAGACGAAGGGGACATGGCATATGGGGGTGGGGGGCACAACCGCCAGAGAGAAGGGGAAATGAGGGCAAGCGAGAGAGGAAAAGGGTCAGAGCATGGCAGTGGCACACCCAGAGGGACCCAGGGGCCGCTGGAAGGCAAGCCCAACAACCTCTTCAGAGGGTAACAGCAATCACCAATCAAGATTTTACCAGAGGCCTGTTGGCCACATATATTTCTGTTGTAAATCACTCTTCCATTTTCTGCCCCTTTATCTAACAAATGTCTTTCTCATCAGTTTGTATGAGATGACATAATGACTCTGGGTAAGAGACCAAATTGAACTGGGAAAGAGAGCTTGTGCTTCTAGAGCCCAGATTTGGAAAACATCATGAAGTGCTACTCACAGATGAGATGACTAGCTTCTCTGCCATCTCCCACCCTAACACTAAGGAAGTGGTACTTTTTTAAAAAAACAAAAAAATTACATAAAATGTGCATAAATAACATGCACAGTTCTTAAGGGTTCATTCAGTTTAAAGAATTTCCACAGTGACATACACCAGTGTAGCCACCACCCAAAGCAAAATGTACAATATTCCAACGCCTCAGAAAGTCCCTCAGGTCCCCTTCTAACCACCCCCGCCACCACGATCAGCACAGATTCTCTCCCCTCATCCCTACTCCTTTGGACTATAGAGAAGGTGACTAGGAGTGGTCTTATGCTGGAGGCTAGTTTGAATGACTTCAATTTATAGGCGACTGATGTCTCAGTCCTGTATATAGAGGAGTGCAGAGTAGCCACATCTACCAATGATATTTTATAAATGCTAATGAGTAGCTGATGTTACATAATAATCAGAGTTCTATAAAAATGACTAAAGTACCACCCCCCCCCATTGAGTATGCGCAGAACACCAGAATGCATCTGGTGTTATAAGTCTTAACAGTCTATAAGCAATGAGTGCCCCCCTCCCCCAGCATTTTCTTTCTCACTCACCTGGCTATTTGGATCTCCAAGTAAGTTGCATATATGTGGCACAATCTTGCTTAGTGTTAAAGTATGTGCTCCAGAGCTGAAAACAAAAGGAATGCTTTATTGTTAGTAAGGAAAAAGGGAAAAAAGATGCCTCTCTGCCCACACTCACCCTTCCTCTGCCTCCCCAGGACACATCACCACCTCACACCAAGGCTCTCTCCATCCCATCCATGCTGGCTCCAAAGCAAATGCATCCCAATGGCCCCTTTGCACACAGCTGAAAACCTTTGGTGGCTTCTCAGGGACAAGTCTTCCTACTGGCATCCAGGGCTTTCTCCAATCTGGCCTTAACCCTTTAAGGCTGAACCAAAGCCCCGGCCTCCCCCATGATCTCGCTTGCCTCACAAATGCTGTCTCTGCATTACTGTTTGTCAGAGTACCCAATTCAACTGCAAGTCCCTGTAGGGTCCTCACTGAATCTTCCCTGTGTGCTATGGCATAGCTTCCTGCTACAGTGGATATTCTGCTAACGCTACTAGGTGAAAAGACTGACCAACAGCCACATAGCATCACCACTAAGCACTGCTCTACCAGGAACACTTAAGTTCTTCACAACCATTACAACTGCTACTATCACAAATATCCTTTGTGAATAAAAATCTCCTACTTAATCTAATTCCTTAGCATAAATTCCTAGGACAGGAAGCACTATCATTGAAGGCTAGAAACTTTTTTTTAAAGGTTCAGCCACATATAGTCAAATTTAATGGCATTCAAAAGGTCAACACATTAAGAGGGAAAAAATTTTATAAAGTAATGTAAACATTATAATCTCAATTTTGATTTTAAAAGTAATATAACTTTACAGGCTCGAATAAAATGCACCAAATGTTAATAGTGACCATCTAAAGGTGACAGAATTATAGTACTCTTTATTTATATCCGTACATAAATTTTTCTGATATATACAATGTTATTTTCATCATGAGAAAAAGTGATTTGAAATTTTTAACTTTAAGAAAGCCTCTCTTCCTGTTCACTAGGTCTAACAAAAAAAGAAAGAAAAAAGAAAGCCTCTCCTGCAAATAAGCACATGAAAAAGATGTTCAACATCAACAGCCATTAGAGAAATACAAATTAAAATCACAATGAGATATTACTACATATATATTAAAATGGTTAAAATAAAAAACAGTGATAATATCCAATGGCTAGCAAGGATATGAAGAAACTGGATCATTCATCCATCATTGCTGGTGGGTATATAAAATGGTATAGACAACTCCAGAAAATAATTTGGCAATTTCTTTTAAAACTAAAAATAGACTTACCAAATCACCCAGTAATTACACTCCTGGGCACTGATCCAAGAGAAATGAAATTTTATGTTCATGCAGAAATTTGTATATGCATGGTCATAATAGCCAAAAACTGGAAATAACCCAAATTTCTCCAACAAGTGAATGGATAAACCATGATACATCTGTACCATGGAATTCTACTTAGTAATGAACTGTTGTTATAGTCAACAACATATACACAGCCTCAAGGGAATTATGCTGACAAAAAAAAGAATCTCAAAAGGTCACATAATGATGATTCCATTTACGTAACATTCTTAAAGTGACAAAAATCATAGGAAAAGAGAACTCATTAGTGGTTGTCCAGGATTGGGGCAGCTATAAGGGGCAGTAAGAGGGAGCCTTACAGTGATGGTGCAGTTGTATATACACACCAATATATGTATGTTTAACTAGAGAAATGGGAATGAGCTCTGGGGATGTATCAATCTCAATTTCCTGGTTTGATTTGTATTATAGTCATGCACGATGTTAACATTGGGGAAGGGTGGGTCAAGGGGGCCACAGGACCTCCTAGTAAGTATATTTCTTTGCAACTTTCTGTAAATCTAATTATTTCAAAGTACAGTTTTTTGGGATTTTTTAAAAATATTTCAAGTTCATTCCAGACTTACGCATTGAGTGTTGCAATAAGGCAGAGACAGATGCCTTCTCGAGTACGAAAATTCTTGTGTTTGAAGCCTCCAAGCATTCTGTCCCATACATACTGCAGATGACAAAGAACAGGTGAGGAGAGAGAAGATTTCTGCAGCCTTTCATTTAGTAAGGGATCAACAGAAGGAGAGCCTCTTAACATGCGCCACATTAATCCCATCTTCTACACACCCATATGGTCCTCTCGAGAGCGTATTAGAAAATGATGACATATATCATTTTATCAAGTATACCAACTTAAAATTTTCAAAATACATTTGTTTATATAATTCTCCCAACAACCCTGAATGGCAGTATAATTATTCTCATTTTATGGGTGAAGAAAGTGAGGCCAAGAGAACAGATGACTTGTCAACGATCATGTAAATCACCCTCTCCTTTTTCTGACCACCCCTCCACCAACAACGGACAGTGGGACTCTGAAAGGCAGGGCTGTGTCAGTCCACCCCAGCATCCTCAGCTCACTAGCAGACAGGAACCAGGGCTCCAGCCAAGCCCTCGACTACCAGACACCACAGCTGCCTTTTCTCAGAGTGATGGAGAGTCAGTTACATAAATGAGCTAAATAGTCTAAGAGATTAAAACCAAGCACACTAATTACACTAATTTCTTCAATACTCATGTTAAAGCCACTTTAACATTTATTCACATTATATTTTAACCTAGTCTCTGGAGGGAAGACTGAAGATTATGAAAATTTTCATCTATAATACCTCATCTTATTAAGAGAAACTAACTCTATGGAGTCACACACTGTTTATCAAGTATAACATACACACACAACACCCCGGCTGGCCCCAGAACTTTTCTCTCACCCTACCTGGGGATTAGCAGCTTGATCCATGATCTTTAGCAGCAGAGTTTGGTCTTGCTCCCTTACAGAGTCTTTAGCATCTCCTAGTCTGTCTATTAGACTTGGCAGCACTGAAAATTAAAAGGGAAATTGGTCAAATGAAAGCCTATTTGGGGGACTGTGGTCACCAAGTGTTGCTATTTCAAATAACTGGAAAGACAAAACTCTGGCCTAAATGAGGCACCTTGTTGTAAAACCACCCATCCTTGCTCACAGCTCTCCTTGCTGAAATCCATGAAAGTCACCAAAGAATCTACAAAATCCTTTGCACAAACATACTATTTGTCTTCCTCCTTACCCCACTTTCCTCAAGCCAGCTCCCAACACACCTGTAAGCTAAATAATGGAAGACCTTGGCAGGAAAGAGTCAACACAAAGGGAAAATTCAGGTTAAGAAAGAAGAGGGGCTCCAGCATATCTCTTTTGAGGTAGAAGGGGCAGGCACTTTTGGATGAATCCATGTTTCCTCAACATTATGAGTTTTTAATTTTACATCACACCCAGACACACACATGAGACAAAGCCCAGCTCTCCAGCCGCCCCTCACACACCCATGTGTGGACCATCCGGCCAGTAATCCAAGGGCACTTGCAGGCCAGAAGTTAGTTTACTTTCCTTCTTATAAGGGTATGTAAACTTCTATTACAAGAGATACCTCTGAATAATTCGGCTTATTTAGGAGGAAAATGGAAGACTGTTAAAATATCCAATTTCTAAAAGTAAGGGTTTTTTAAATTTAACAGATGGAAAGTTACTCAGTGCCAGAATGGAAAAAGTAGTTCTCTACCTTTTCTAAAGCAGCATAGTGACCAAAAAGTTAACTTTCCTAAACAAATATACACATTCTATAAGGAAATGGTTGTGCAGTATATGGCATTTATGTTGCCATCAGGAAATACCAGAGATCAGGAATGTACAGGCGTCTAAATCTATGAAATCTGTGGGTTTTGTTTCATTTTGCTGACACACTGTTACCCCTTCAAAATAAGCAAGTGAGCTTATTACTAGACACTTGTAATGACATTCACAATCAATGTGAAAACAGTAACACCAACAATAATCATCTGGGAAAAAATACAACTAGTTCGGTTATACAGGACTTCTCAAAGAAAACTGCCTTTCATTACAAGGAAGAGTTGAAGAGAAAAATCAAAAATGACATGATTAGCACTAAAGGGTGATGGCTAATTATGCACAGGAAATAAAACAGGAGGTGGGTAAAAAAGCCAGTAGGTGCCTAGAGGCCAGTGTGTCTGGAGCGAGCCTGGCAGGGGAGGGAAGGCAGCGGTGCAGGCCGGCTGGGAGAGGATGGAAGGCTCCGGGAGGGGGCGCTGTAGGAGGACTAGGGGAAACGATGGGGGAGCTGCAGGGGAGGATGGACAGCTCGCTGGAAGGGTTGGTTCAGCTAAGCGGTGGAACTGGAAAGACAGAGTGAAGGCGAGGGGCGGGCGCGGGGGTGAAGGGTGGAGAGTCTGGGTGCCCGCTCCACCTCTACCCACAGCTCACCTGTGCCGATCTGCGCCTTGAACCGATCCTGCAGCCGAGTCACTAGGGCGGACAGGATGTCCATGCCCAGAAGAACCACCTGCAACGGGAAACACCGGGAGCCGGTTAGCGGCCGGCCAGGGGTGCAGCGCTCCCGCCCACGCAGTCCGAGAGCCCAGAACGCGCATGCCGACTGCTGAGCACGGGGCAGAATGCTCTTGCACAAAAAGAGCTGTTTACAGTTACAGTAAAAATACTCGTCTAGAAGAAACAGCGCGGCCAAACCCCCAGGGGACTAGCCGCGTAGTCAACGAGCTCTCTGCAGCCCCGCCCCTGTTGGCTCCGCCCCGGCGAGAAGCGTATGCAAATTTTAGGGCGGCTAGCGCGCGGTCTTCTGGGTAAAACCGAGCAGCCGTTTTGCGACCCTAAAGAATCTCAGAAAATAAGGAGTTGGTGGCTTGCACACAACGATGTGGTCAATGGAGGTAGGCAGCTACCCGCCAAGCTAGGGGCGGGACTCAACGAGTTAGTCACCACAACCTAACCTGGTATTGGCGCTTCCTGCTCACAGCGCAGGGCGAACAATTTGTAACCATCCTTTTCTTGGGGTAGCGCTACTGTCCAATGAACGAATAGTGAGGACAGTACTGCTAACGCCTACACAACACACCCGCATCAACTAGAGCTTTGCTTTACTTTGGTGCAATTTTTGGAAAAAAGAAAACTCTCTTTTCCACGATCTGTAATTTCAACAGTAGTTAGCTCATTATAACACCTACGGCAAATTGCGAAGCTTGCCCACTAGGGGGTGCGCAATGCTCAATATTAGGTATACATTTATCATCCAGCACAAGAATCCTCCACTACTATACAGGAGCTTATATTTTACTTACAATGAACACTGAACTTCAAAATTCAATTTCAAATGCCCCAGTGGGCCGAACTCTGAATTTATAATCTTCGCCTTAGTGCGATCACATAAACTTTGAAACATTGAGTCTTATAGAATGGCCCTATAGCCCCATCATTTAAATAATTAAACCCTTCCCCCGTAGGAAGCACTTTTGCATTGTTGCAATTTCATTAAACATTGAAACACAACAACAAATGAACAAGACTAAGGCAACGATCATAATTCCTGGTACATTGCCTGTCCCTGCGTTTTGCAGCTAAAAACAAAAACTGCTGCAAAACTGAAGGAACCAAATCTGCCCAATAATCAGCACAATATATAAACTGTCCTTGCAAGGGATTGGCTACTTGACAACATTAAAGACAATTTTTATAAGAGAACAGTCTGTGGACAGATTTTTCTTTTAATTATTTAATGGTATAGAACACTTTAAATAATGACTTGACTTTTGAGCTAAAAGGATTAGGCTCCACAATTTGACTTCCTTCCAAAGAGTGCAGTATGGAAGTGGGAGGAGTAAGGACACAGTGGAGACAAACATTCCCACAGCCAGATGATCAAGGGTCAACATCAAGAGTCATCATGATGTCTGCAGCAAGTATATTTGATGAGATGTGATGAAAATGGCACTTCACCTCTGTGATAGTCCTCCCCAAAACCCAGAAGCCCAGTCTGATAATCATGAGAAAAAACATCAGAGAAATTCCAACAGAGGGGCATCCTACAAAGCACCTGACCAGTACCCCTCAAAACTGTCAAGGTCATGAAAAACAAGGAAGTCTGAGCAATTGCTACAGCCAAGAAGAGCCA